GGCGGGGCGGGGCGGGGTGGGGCGTGACGGGCCGATAGCGCCACAAAGGTCCGGCCAGAGCCGCAGTGCGACCACCATGCCCGGGCCCGCCGCAAGTCTCTCGGCCTGGCTGGTCTCCGGGGCGGCCTTCGGGCTGGTGCTGGTGCTCGCCACGCCACCGCCGGCCGGAGTCAGCCGTCGGGCCGGCGTCACCAGCGACCTGCCCCGCGCTGACAACGCCACCCCGGGCTCCACCTACCTGGCGCAGATGGACATGGACAGGGGTAAGGAGTGACCGCGCGCCGGGAGCCCCCGCAGATTGCGTCGCGAGAGCGCAGAGGAGCAAGGGAGACAGACGGTAAGTACATTCGTTTTTATTCTCAGACTCGTCGGGCAATTGACGGGAGCATGGCGCCTGCGAGACTCGGGGTAGGCCACCCCGCAGCACACGCACGCACAGCAGCCGGGATGTTGCCTACCCGTCAGGCGCTACGAGAGCTTTGAACCGGGTGTTGCAGAGCAGAAACTAGTTACGGGCGGAGACCGAAGGCAAACCCGCAACACCGTGGTGTCTGCTCTGAAACAACTAACAGAAGGCTGAAGTTGTCTGTCACTTTTTGTAACGACGGGAGAACTTTGGGGATGATAATCCCAAAGCCGAAGCAGCAGCATCCTTAACACGGCAATCGCACCCGCGACTTGTTGCAGGCTGGATGTGCTCCTCCGTGTGCAGCAAGGCGGTGGACAAGCAGGTGGCGTACTGCATGTGCGTGGGCTGCGACGAGCAGGGCCAGTGCGTCTACAACGAGCCCGACTGCGCCTTGAGATGCAGGTGCAACTGCAACGGCAGGCTCGGCGACGTGGACGCGGCGGCCGCCGCCCTTACGATGCCCGGGTGGGCGCCGACGCCGAGGATGCCGACGCCCAGCGCGCCCAGCAGCAGCGCGCGCCCCTAGAGGACCTACCTACCAGGGCCGCTGGCGGGCCTCCCCGAGCGGCCGGGGACGCCGGTGCGGCGCGGCGACGGGACGGACCGGGCTGTCAGCGCTAACCTATAAGGGACAGCTGCGGCTCCAAATTAAGACTAGGCGCGCTCCCTCTCAGGGGCGGGCAGGGCGCGGCGGCGGGGCGTGGAGTGGCGGGGCGCGGCGAAAGAGGAACGGGTCGTCGGCTGCTACACACTTTCGCCATTCGTTGTGCGTCCCGCGCGCCCCTCCGCCTCCTCCCCGTCCCAGAAAAACAAACGCCATTCCTCCCCCCGACGAGCAGCAGGTGCATCCGGCGCGGCGGCAGGAGGCGCGCCCGCCCTCGCGGCCCGTGATATTGTTAATGCGGGTGTCCATGGGCGTTGTTAAGTGCTAATGGGGTTCCAACGCAGAGTACCTCAATGAGTCCAACTCGGCGGGGCCCGACAGTCCCCCTCCCTCCACCGCGGGCTCCCCTCCGACCGCCAAGCCTCGCGGGGCGGTGCTCTCGCGGGGCAACGCACTTTGACATACGGCTCCCCGCGGAGCCTCGCCGCGGTGCCTCGCGGTCTGGCCCGGCCGCCCCGGCCACCCCGGCGCCGCGCGTCATACGCCGGGGTGCGAAAATTTTTAGCGACATTTCATGCAACCGCGCAATTACAATACACGCAAAGGAGTGCGGCCTCCGCGAAATAAACCCCCAGCAACACCATATTGCCATCATTTTACTCGGCAGCGTCCCCCCCTACCTACCTCCCCCTCAGAGTGACAGCCCTTTTACGTGGCAAACAAAGAGCGACGTTGAGGCGCCAAGCACAATACTGGGGGACATCCTGAAGGACTTGGCGGGGCGACCGTCGCGCCGCGGCAGAGCGCCCAGCGCCGCTCAGGTGAGGACCAAGAATTTCCCCCGAGTCGCCGTAAACATGTCCCGCCCCGCCCAGCGCCAGCAGCAGCCCCGCGCGGCCCCCGCCCGGGCGCCCCCAGTTGCATCACACATGTGCGGCCGCCACGACCCTGGCCTACCTCACTGCGCGCGGCGCGCCGCGGGGCAAAGCGGAAGGAGAGCCAGACGAGCGGCGAGGAGAGCTAGCACACGGGCAGCAGTGGCAGGAAGAGCCCGCGAGGGCTGTCCCCGCGACAGAGCGAGAATAGGAAAAGGGCTGACTACCCCACCCCCACCCCTCTCCCAGGTCGCAGAGCCAAGAGCGGGAAGAGCGCGAGCTGCAGGGGAGGCGGGAGGGGAGGGCCCCTCTGATACCCCAGCGGGGCATGGCGTTTGTTACGCTCAATGAGGTGAAGCTTGTCACCGGGAGTTTGCCCTTACTGATGAGGATGAGGCCGAAGAACTCCACCGCCTATACCCGCCTGTGCCTTGGCCCACCAGGCCCGCCCCTGGACGGCCGGGTGCGGTGCGCGAGGCCCGCGGCCCGGGCCTAACGGACGCCGCTGTCCGTCGGGCAGAACCAAGCCAAAAGATGTCACACAAGGTCGTTAGACGCTCTCTGTCCGCGAGGATTGTTCAGCTTCGACGAGGCGCCCGGGCTCGGCGGCGCCGTCTGACGTGCGAGATGTGGGCAACGCGACAACGGGGGAAGGCCGGCCAGCCAGGTCGCAACGCAATTTTCCATTAGGCGGCAAATTGGTCCCAATTCAACACAAATGCGCCCTTCTCTTCTGCGTGCCAATTACAAACTGCGGGCGCCACTTCCTTTATACAGTATAGGCTCTTGCCAAGAGCGACCGCGCTCCCTTTCCTCAGGAAAGATTTTCTTTATAAACTACCCCGGTGACATTTAAATGTAGGCGCAAAAACAAGAAAGAAAAACGAAAATGCGTTAGCGGTTAAAGAATCGCGAGCTTGGACGTAGTTATGCCTATGGTTAAATAGATTTGTGGCTTGGATTATTCATTTTCTGTCCCCTTTTAGAGGTTAGGATGGTTCTAACCTTCATGTCAAAAATTCAAGGAAGAGCTCATTCTATAAGAGGACGATCATACAGAAATTACACTACCTCCTTTTAAAACTTAAAGTGACTCAAAGGATTTGTCTCTATAGACCCACCGTACAGAGCGGAGATTAATAATTGGATAACAATTTGAATTTATGTTCTACAAAATTCTATTCGAGATTCCATTAAGATGGAAGGGCAAAGGGATGCATTGTGATGCAAAAGGGTATGGGCGAGGAGGGTGGAAGACAACTGCTGTACGGACACAATTTACAGGCACAAGGTCTTCACTGCCCCTTTGATTTACGCTTCAGCTTCGTCTGGGCGAATGGAGGACTTCACTGTGAAACTCGAAAGGCGTGCTAAAGAGATGTGTCATTTTTACTTTTCCGAGGGACCGCGTGCTGGGCCGGTGAGTGTGAGTGTGTAAGTGTGTTGGTGTGTGAGTGCGAGTGTGAGTGTGTGTGTGTGTTTTGAATGACGAGTGTGCAACAACACAGTCACTTGGCGCCCGTCCAGCGAGGGTATTAAGACACCCGACCACCTCGGAAGGCACCCCCACCCACACGCCCCTTTTTCTTCAATAAGATTTTTTTTCGGCGACGAACACGGACAAAATTTAAAAGAAACAGCGTTGATTTGTTTTTTTCCAACTCTTCTTCCCTCGTAACGCGACAACTGGACGAGCAGAATTGTATTTAAACAACTTGAAATGATTTTTTTTTCTTCTGATAGGCTGGTGGCTGGTCGACGGCCTCATCACCTCACACACTCAGCGACCAGCGGGGCGACCAGACAATTTCTCTTTTTATGTTTCTCGCGCCGGGAATCCCACCCGCCTGCTGCCGACCGCCCCGGCCTCATAGTGGGCGACTCGGGAGAAGAGCAGTAAACATTCATACTCCACCAAACTTCAGACATACGAGAAGAGGGAAAAAAAGATATTTCGCAGAACGGTGAGGAGGCGACGACCCATGTCCCATGCCGGTCATGCTGCGGGGATAGGGCATATGCGCGGGGGCAGTCACGACGTATGTCGGCTTCAAAAATGAAGAAAAACACAGCATCTTTGAAGGAAGCGCGGATCCGCCGCGATCACTGCGAACTGCAGCAGCCACCCTCCCCATCTCCCACCCTTTAGCGAGAGAGGGCTTTCTAGGAATCGCTAGCGGCGGAGCTGTTTGGGGGCGCACACGTCTCGTACGGTTAAAAATAAAGACCGGAGTTGCGCCTTGGGGCGTGGCGGGGCGTGGCGGGGCGTGGCGGGGCGTGGCGGGGCGACCGCACGCGGCGCCTACCTCGGCCAAGACGTCACCCGTGACGCCATGAGCGGGTGAATCATCGGCGTAAACGCCACAAACAAGCGCAGAGCTAGGCTCTAACGCCGCCAGCCGGCCCGCTGCACACACAGCCACCCCCGCCCTCGCCCCCGCCGTGCACCCTGCCCCGTCCCGCCAGTGAACAATGTTTCGCTCTCATTAAGAGTGTTTCAGTGTATATGAAGCGACGACACGCAGGCGCGAGCGTCTCAAGCCAGACGCCCCATAACTTTTGCAGCAGCGCGCGAGAGAGAGAGGTGTGTGTTTTGCGGCGGCCGAAATAACGAACAGAGTGAATGAGGCGAGAAAAGAAAATGGTCCCGGCTGGTCCTCGGACACTGCGGCCTCCGGGAGGAGCACAACCAGTCCGATCTGCTGGAGTGCCCTGAGGGGTTCCGATCAACCCCACCACGGCGGGTCGAACCCCCTCCACACCCCTGCTTCCTTCTCCTCCTCTCGCGCCCCGACATTTCCCCCTAGAGACGAGTCAAGGCCAAACCTGTCATCGGCCAACCTGATAAATTTCGAACAAGAGGGAAGAATTCCGTGTCATATTTTTCAACTCTCACCCGCCCTCTTCATCAGTCCTGCGCGGCCCGGCGTGAAGGGAAGTGGGGGCTGGGGGCGATGCGGGGCACCCCACCGCCGAAGAAAAAAGAATCACAAAAAATCAAGACTTGCGAGAAACAGGCGGGGTGGTCAGCAGACAGGGACAGGCGGACCAGCCCGGGCAGCAGACAAGCGGACCGGTGGCGTGGCTTGAGTGGAGCGGGGGGGGGGGGGGGGGGGGGGGGGGGGGGGGGGGGGGGGGGGGGGGGGGGGGGGGGGGGGGGGGGGGGGGGGGGGCAGCAAGGTAGGCCGTCCCGCTGTGCCGCCCGCTGCGGCTGGCCTGCCTACCTAAAGGCGCGCAGAGTCAAAGACCGCCCGCGCCGCTGCCGGGCCGGGCCCCCCACACTCACCACGAGGGAAAGACACCGGCCCGCTAGTCCTAAACTGAAAACTGGGCCAGTGCGAGGGGGCGGTGAGCGGACGAGCGAGAGAGAGACGGCGAGGAGAGGGGCAGGTGGGGGACGGAGAGAGACACACAGTCGGGTTATTTCCATCCTTTTAATGAGTTGTGCAACGACTGGGCAGGGATGCGGCGGGCGGCGGGCGACGGGGAGGCGGAGGCGAGTGGCGGATGAGAAGGGGACCGGAGGGGCCCGCCGGGCCACAACAGAGGGTCCACACAGGTCACGCACCCCCGCAGCCGGCGGGAGAGCGCGGCGGAGAGGCTGGCCGACGCAGCGGCAAGGCCGGTATAGCCCTGATCCAGACTCCAGCCAGGACCTCACGTGGGACACGCCTTTAAATGACCAAACGGCCCACATTCGACCCTGCTTGGAACGAGCAGATCATTCCAGTCCTCAACGAAACGCTGAACTTAGGCGTGAAGCGTGTGAAGCCTTCAGCCGCGGTGGGCGCGTCGTAAAGATCAATAACATTCCAAAGAGCTGATCGCGCGATGCGTGTCATCGCAGTGGTAACGGCGGGGCGGGTACAGCGCAGTGCGCGGCGTCGTGGACCACGTCGCAAGGCTCTCGGACTAAGTTGCGCCGACAGGCGGCCTAGACTGGGTAGTGGTTTGTTGCATCCACGCGCCACAGGAAGGGTGCGGCTAGTGTCTCTCTCTTTCTAAATGCATCGCTCTTCTAGTACCACCACCCCGCACTTCTCTCTAGAATGCGAGTGCGTCCCGTCCCTCACGTGGCACAACTGCTTTGACACCCTTCCTCATAAAGCGCGCGGGAGGAGGTCGCGGCCCGCCGGGCAGGATGCGCCCTACCAACCCTCTGAAACGCAACTCGAGATTGCAAAACAAAATATAAGCGTATACTTCCACCGCAGAAAAGGGGGTAAAATGAAATGAGGTTGCAGTAATTGGCAGTAGTATTAGCAAATATTTAACTGCTGAACAAGTTTGTGGTTTATGTCCTGATACTTTCTTCTTTTAACCCGGACGCTCAACCCCAGCTCTTTAATTTCGCACAATTAGTGGCGTCACGGTACATTTGCATGTTTCCAGCTCGTTTTGTTCATGCGATAATGGAATCGAGGACAACACTGGCGCGGGGAAGTCCGTCGCAATAACACACAGCAGCGCGCCTAGCAGCGCCTGTTGGGCTCGACCCATATGTTGTTTACGCGGCCGGCTCACAAATGTCACCCCCCTCCCTCCACCCTCCGGAGAGAACTAGACGAGGAGAATCTCGGCTATTAGGCCAGAACGGTGGTGGAGGGGCGGTTGGCGGCGAGGGGGAGTGGCCGTTTGAGAGGGGATGACAAGACGAAGGATGGACAGAGACAAACGGACAAACATCGCGGCAGCAGGGTTTGCGACGAGGTATTTCCTGTGAAACCGAGCGCCCCCCCCCCCCCCCCCCCCCCCCCCGGCCCGGTGACGGGTGCGCACACTTTTCTTATACAGGTTCCTTTAGATTATCTGAGTGGTTAACTGAAATGTTCTTGCAATAGAGGTTATCCCCGGTTATCCACTACGAAAGGTGTACAGCTCGGTGTGCAGCACGCATTTCTTGTTGTGATGCACATGTCTCATAATGATTATATGCACGACTTCGTCAATAATTCAGCACATATGCGGGTGCTATCGCCATGGCGCGTTTTCACAAAACTACGTAAAACTGCCGTATATGCAAGGCGTTGCCTTTGATTCAACAGTAATTGAGAGGAAAATTCTAAAAGCTCAAAGTCTAAAACGAGTTAATTCTGACAACTCAATAAAATACGTAATTTTCAGGATTATTTCCATGCGGGTCCTTGCGAGCCTCGAGTGAAGCTTGCAACTGACTAACAATCCTTGCTCGATCCTGCTACACACTTTACTTCTGAATGCGTATAAAAGTGTTTGGTGCGGACGGCACTAAGTAGTCGACGGACATAAAACATCGGGGCGAAAAAGATTCCGCCACGGCAAGTTTGTGTTTCACACCAAATTGCTTGACACTCCGGAGCTCGTGATTGATAGTCCGCCGATGTTCACCCCCCACTCCCCCCCCCCGCCACCACCAGTCGGTTTCCGCCACGCCACGCCACCACACCCCCACAACGGCTTTTGGCAGAGGCGCCGCTGTGCTTTCGTTCGGCCACCCCTCGTCTGAGACAACAAGCTAATCAAATCCCGTCGGGAGCAGCAAAGCTGCACAAGGGAGGGGGTTTCCCACACACACTTCCATAATAAATAACGCGCGAGCTGATTGATTGTTCCATCAACCGCATTCCGAACCACCAGGTTGCTTTTGCCGTCATCCACTTGATTACGACGAGCTTATTTGCACTCAACCCTGGTTGACAAAGCTTCGTCAGTCAATTGCAGAGTGGAAATAGGGAAATAGTTTCATACTATTGACAAACTCGACACGTCGATAATGTTTTATTTTCAATGTACTAAACAAAACTATTCCGACATAACCAACTATACGAAGCAATCCTCAGATTTGCTTGCAGCTCATGGACCAAGGCTATGCCGCTGGGTTGAGAACGGTTGACAACGAGTGCTGCAGTGTGCTGCACAACATGGTCTTGTCTCATGGCACCCGGGCGGGATGACAGCGATGGACTTCCGATGACAGGGGCGAGGAGGCGAGCCGGCAAATGGCTGCATCAATGACTCGACTATCTCCACCGTGAATCAGGGATCTTGGACCTCACCCAAGTGGCCGGGAGAGACCTCGGCCCGGCTTCCTGCTCCTTGCGGGGTGCAGTTGAGGTGGTTGAAGGAGGTTGGAGGAGGTTATGGAGGAGGTTGTGGAGGGGGTTGTGGAGGAGGTTGTGGAGGAGGTAATGGGGGAGGTTATGGAGGAGATTATGCAGGAGGTTGTGGAGGAGGTTGTGGAGGAGCAGGAAGGTGGTGGAAGGTAGTGTATAAGGAGGAAGAAGGCGGAAGGAGGTAAAAGGAGGTGGAAGGGGGTGGAAGAAGGTGGAAGGAATCGGAAAGAGGTTGTAAGATGTTGGAGGATGTTGATTAGCGATAAGGAGGTTGAAGGGTACACCGCTTCCGTGTCCATGCGGCTGGCCGGGGGCGGGCTGGGCAGCCCCGCCGCACGGAGCTGCCCGGCGGGCCTGCCTACCCCGTGGTCCGCAGGCGCTCGGCCCGGAGCGTAGCGACGATCCCTACCACTCACTCACAGAGCTCTGCGAGCGAGAAGCGGGTGTTGGTGTTGGTGTGAGCGTGAGCGTGCGTGCGTGCGAGCGTGCACGCTAGCGACTAGATGCGACGTGGCCCACACGATGCGTCGCGATGTCGTCTGTTATTTTGACTGGCCGTGCCATGACTAAAGGAAATCATGTGTCTCGGCGGGTGCACCGGGCCGGCCGCGCCGCGCCTTGGGTCACTCCCACGCCCCCCACCAGCGCGCCCGGCGTCTTAAAATAGGGAAACAATTTTTAACAAGTCGCGAGCCGACGGCGACACGACGGCCCCGCCGCCGCCGCCGCCGGGGGAGTCGGGAGTACTGTGACGGTTCGCCGCCCCCCGGCCGCCGACACCGACGGGGTCTGTCCCCGATAGCCAGGCGTGCTTGCTCACGCCCTGGACTAATCGTGAACTTGAGTCATGACTTTGAGTTCAAGCCCTGGCGACGAGTGCTCTATCCGACCATGGCGACTTCCGCCCGCCGATGATCGGCTCGCGATAATCTCGCACGAAACGCGCCTGAAATATACGCCCCGAAGAGAGCCGCGAGAGCGAAGCAACACCTGATGTGATTAGTGTGGGTGGGCGAGCTGCGAGCCGAGCGCCGAGCCGAGCCGGACCGGGCCGAGCCGAGCTTAACCCGCCCCAGCGGGGTGAGCAAAGTTGGCACTCGGTCAAAAAACTCCACACTGCTCTGCAGACGGAGGGAGGGCCTACCTTCCAAACTACTACTGCCAGCAAACTGAATGCCAAAGAGTCACGCATGGACGAAATTGAGAAAAGAGACCAAGCTCCCCCAAAGGTTTCTATTTGGACCATCGTCTTTGGTTCTCCCATTCTAGTTCTCCCATAACTAGAAATTATAAAGTCGACCAATCACACGGTCACTAAAGATACGAGACCTGAACGTTTCCCGACGCGCAAAATAAAGCTGTCCTCAATAAGGCGCGAGTAAAGTGTGCTACAAATGGCATTTTGACCAATGTTTTGGTTTGCTATTAAATTGATTTCATATTTCAGTTTGCTAATAATCACTCGTGGTGAGTTGACGTCGACTTGTAGTTTACCATTTGAATGGCAGTTTGTTCAAGAGTTTCCATGCATGCACTGGCCCAACAGGCACGGCGCAGCCCCGACCCGCTGTCTCTAAATAGCAGGCCCCCTCCCTGTCCTGCGCCCGCCGTGCGCAGGGCTGGCTTAGCTAGGCTAGGGCTAGAGCTGGGCGGCGGCCTGTACTGGTTCTCCTGTGCGAGCCAGGCCATGCACTGTCCAACCTGGCTGGTTTGGCCTTGCCTCGGACCCACCCCCATTCCTGTCAGTATGGTTCAAAGAGATGGACCAATAATACAGTGCGTCTTTTATCTCTTGTTTTCAGTTTTGCTGAAGCTGTTGCTGTTGTTGTCATTGTACTCCTACTCTACTCATCACAGCCCTTCTGCTGAGATGTTTTTGAGAAGGAATAGTCAGAAATAGGCCATAAAAACAGTAAAGCACAACTGCTACAAGTTACAAAAGCTTAAAACTTGCAAGCTTTAAATGAGTATCTAAATATCCACACGCAGTAAACTATTCAGAGAGAAAATCTTTTCTTCTACGCCTCTAATAAAAATAAATATACTAAAAAGCATAAATCGGAAAATGTCAAAAGATATATTTTTAAAAAGATTCAAATGTTCTTAGGAATAAAGAACTATACAAGAAAAAGAATACTTTTAAAAATGTAAGTATATGCTTAGAACAGTAGGAGAGATTGTAAACTTCATTAACACCAATAAAATGGAAGAAAAAAAATGAAAACAACACACATATATAACCTTAACAGTGACAGGAAAGGCCCACAGTTTAAAGGCAAACTGACAGGTATGATCACAGAGGATAGGCAATCTGTTTTAACCTGACACAATTCCAAAATATTTTCAAGTTGCGCTGCACCATTCAGAATGCATGTAAATTCAATCTGTTCCCTACTTTAAATAAAATTTATAGCTATTTCACAGGCTTCGCAGACGCCGATTTATAGATGCAGGTTTATAACCTCCAAGTAAACTGATAAAAATGTCAACGGTAGAGGAAAGGCCAGCAATAAGACAATGTTCCAGTCGAACATCGAAAACAAAACAAGATACACTGTAGGTTTAAATTCATGCGTTAGGCAAAATTACAGGGACACTCGGGCGTAAGTCACTTAGGCCCTCCGGCCCTCCGCATAATCGACAGCAAGAACCTTATATTAATCTTAGCACTAACCTTGATTTGAAGGCTGCTGAAGGCAGGGTGAACTATTTCATCAAATCAATCAAACAAATCAGTAAAACTCGTTCGATAAAGGTAAACACACACAAATTTAGTAGGCGAACGAGCTACATAGAGGAGGCCATTTTGAAACATGACATCTCGCGGCCTAGGATGGTGTAAATACTGGGAACCACATTTTTTGGTCGCCATTGGTCTTCCTTGTAAAATGGGATTAAACTACTCAGGAACATAATTATAGACATAACATGCTAGTTTCGCGTGTTTCCTACGCGAAAGGGTTCAGAATATCGAGGAACATATCGGTTGTAATGCAAGGAAGAAAGAACATACCCCACAAGATCTGTACAGTCACATAAACAGCTGCAATCATCTGTTCGTAGCAACCCTTCCTAAAATATAGACTCCAAGTTCTCTACCAGCCTGATGTTGGTGTTGTGAACATTTCTGGATGTCGTGTTGTCGTTGTGTTTTGTGTTGTTATATCGTGGTGCCACATTTTTCAAGGAAAATACAATTCTTGTGAATTTTGATCATCTTTACTTTTTCGCAACATAGCTTCTTTTGTCTGATGTCAGTTTAAATAAGTTTGTAAGTATGTTCGCAAGGTTGTAATAACTAATTCCATTCTCTTTCTTTACATGTAACATATCCAATTATCTGGTTCTGTCTATAGTTTTGCTTAGCTATCTGTGCATTCTTGCGATTTGCTCTACTATTATTGATTTCCACAATATCAAATTCCATAGAGTTTTAGGAGAAATCTCTGTAGTCTTTACTAGCTGACTTGCATTTGATCATGCAAGTTTTTTTTTGTTTTTTTTTTGTTTTTTCGCTTTAGGTTATGTGCATGAAAGTGGTGTTTTTAGGTCCGTGTTTTGAAATTGACACCTATTTAAACCTGTTCGCCAACAACGTGGCAATGCTGCAAGTAGAATTTTATACTTGAGGTAAACCGTATTTTGAGTGCCTGTCGACAAAATTACTTATCACCACTGGATTCCTTGGAAAATTTGCCAGTGCCGAGTGCTTTTGCTTTTTGAAAATTTGCCCAAATTAAAATTTTACTGTAGAGATTTGTGTTGTTGCCAAATTGTGGGCGAAAAGGTCTTTTGATAGCAAGAGTGGATTTAGTTTTCAGTACGACTGTACTTACATGTTTCCATCTGTATGCCATGATTTTGGTTTTTGTACAAATCTGAGAGTCTCTGACACCGACACTTTACTTTTCCAACACTGCTTTATTAACTCATTATCATTGTACATTTTCCTCCATACTCTACAAAACCATTGACAGTTCAGGAATAAGGAATTTAATTTTATCAATACCTTTTGAACAAGCGCAAGTTAGTTTGAGTCTCGAGTATGTGGTTTATCTTTCCAGTCTCTTCTCTTCAGTCACTCCCAAGACAAACTATCTTTTAAGTCAGCATTTCTAGTACTTGTCTTAAGCACTTTAATTATTTGCAATGCCTAGATTTCAACAGTAGAATGATAATTTTTGTGTTATGGAAGTGCTGGAGCTCTCAAATAATTTCATATTGACGTTAATTGTCATTACATAAAACGTAACAAACACACTCTTTTCTTTTCGTACTTGATACCACTCCCTGCCCAATTCCCAGCAAATGAAAAAACATAAATTATAATATAAAACAGTTTTTACCTCTTTCTGTGAGCTTTGAATGCTCCTGAATTATTTGAAGTTATCAGGTAAACTTATCTCATGCATATTCAGGCTATTTCAAAAGAAAGACTCAAATACCCCACCCAAGTCTTTAACAATTTACATTGTTTGATTATCTGATCTTATTTTATATGCAGTGAGCAGCCACAATTTTAGCTAGATGGTATGCCCCTGTTTCATTAACAATGTAAGTGCTCTGAAGTTATTTTATGAAAATGGTGTGTTCCATTGCAAGGATTTTTGTTATACATTACATTTTTGTGAGCAAATCACTAGAGCACAAAGCTTAAATATTACAACATTTTGACTTGGAATATAAACATTTTCTATCATCTACAAGGAGTTCAATTATATTTTTTTTTTTACATTTTGAAGATTGCAATAAGATTTTTTTTATGTAGGGCTTAGTTTTTACAGAAATATTCAAATCAATGTCCGTTTTCCAATGCAAGGTCTGTGAAGTGAAATCGGTGCCACTCTTCCCAATCTTTCTCAGGTCCTCCTTTGATTGTTTTTCTCAACAAAATGTTTGATTAAAGTCTTTTACGGAATCAGTACCAGACAACAATTAATCAGGGTTTGCACTTGTGGCTTCGGTTGTTGTTGATGCTGTTTCACTTGCTGTTGGCTTATCTTCTTTAATATCAAGGAATGGCATCTTTTTTTGTAGTTCAAGCCTGCAAGAAAAGCAAGTAATTAATCTTTACTTTTGTTTTCATATTTCAGAAGGACCATGAGTAACCGTCGAGGCTTAGCTACATGTTCAGCGGTTAATTGTAGCAACCGCTACAAGAAGGGATCTGGAATTATTTTCCATCCGTAAGTATGCATGGTGTGTACCACTTAATGCATCACTTGTTCTGCCTTTTATTTTTTTTAATGAATGAAAATTTTTATTTATTCTGCAGATTTCCCTTAAGTAATGTAGAACTTTCCAAAAAATGGGTTATTGCAATGAGAAGAGCAAACTTTTCTCCTACAAAAGGACACCACCTGTGCTCTGAACATTTTGAAGATAGTTGTTACACTTCAGCTGCTAATGGAAGAAGAGTTTTAAATGCAAGTGCAATTCCAACAAAATTCAATTTTCCAATGAAGAGACCAATACGTATGACTTCATCTAGTGTTTTAACAAGTAGTGCTACTTTGGACAAAGGGTTCACTGAGAAAACTCCAATATTTGCTGCTTCTCCTATTGTTCATTCCAGTCAACAGCAGCCTAGTCCAGTCAGAAGAGCTTTTTTAAAAGACCACTGCTACTCTCTCCCAGGCCTCCAAAAACTGAAGAGGAAGTTAGATGAGTCTGAAGGGGATCTAGGAAAGCAACTTTCTCTTGCTGATGTGGAGCAAATCTTAATGCCCACATTATCAGAACGTGTTGGTGTTGTACCACCTTCTGCACCCCGAAATGCTCAATCAAATTCAAATCCTATTCAGGAACATATTGACGCATGTGTAATGAAAGCTGTTACTCCTTTAGAGCAACAACTTCAACATATGAAAGCGATTGTTAACGCCCTTACTTCTCAGATTAATAATTCCTCAAAGAGCCAACAAAGGGTGGGAAAAGAGACCTTTGATTGGTACAGCCTTATGCCTGCGCAGCCCTCAGGGAGCATACCACGGGATGAACACGAAATTCAAGTGTTAGCCACGCGTTTGGCAGTAAGTTTCTCTGAACTTCCTGCTGAGGCTGTTGCAGAGCAATACCAGGTACATTATGTGTTGACTCAATTCGCAATTTGGCCATCCCTACCTCCTGCACAGCAACTTGCGACTTACAGAATGGCTCGGATGCTTTATTGTGCTATAAAAAATGGGTGGCCAACAGCAATTCAAGAGGAGCAGGATTCAGAGGAAGCTGCAATGCAAGAATTTGCTATGCCTGTGCAAGTCTCAATTGGAAAGCGATCTAGCCCTCGAAGTATGCTTATGCCTCAAGGAAGGTCAAGACGATAAAAAAGATATAGGAATTGTATATTTGAAGTGTAGATGTGCCTAGTAGGTTCAGTGTAGGTGAGGTGTGACTTTAGTCATCATAAACCAGCAGTGTTGTAAAATTGCTTGGTTTATTTGAAAAATGTGTGTGATTTTGGGGTAGTAGCGGATGATAAATTATTATTATTAACAGAGAGAGAATTCCTATTTTTTTACAGTGTTTTGTGAAGAAAGCATGAAATTATTGAAACATTTGGGTCTTCTCAAGCGAACATGTAACCTGTTTTTTTCTGCATACAGAGCAAAATTAATCTTCTGTTTTAACTATCTACTAGTCTTATATTCAGCTCTGTATCGGACTGATTGGTAAATTTTGTTTTTCCATCACTGCCTAGGTATAATATTTGTGATCTATTACAGTTATCAGTGTTCCAGAATAAGGTCAGATATTTTGTTCAATATGTTAAATTATCTACCTCCAAATTTCTTTTGCCTATGAGCAATTATATAACTCAGAGCATGACTAAGTCAAAGTACATTGACAACAAATCTGTTGGTTTGCTATTAAAAAAAAAAATGTATAGTTATTGAGGTTGAGAACTATGCTTTTACTTTTCTGAAGGCAGCTTACATATTTTTTTGAAATTTTATTCAAAGAACAAATGACGTAGTGCCACCTGAAATTTCAGATTTTAGCAGACACTATTTATGGTAGCTAAGCGATTTTTGAGACTGTTGAATTCTACTTATTGCTGCTCTTTTTTTTTTTATATAGTTGTAATATTTGAAAAGAAAGAAAAGTCCTTGTTCTGCCCTCACTTTTTTTTCTTTAATGTTTTGGAGAGATTGAATTGAGTCATGTCTTGTAAGGTGGGAGTGAAGTTCCTTAAGTGCCCTCTGTAATCTGTAATGATTGTTGATGGAAGTTTAATTTTTAGTTCTTCATTTGATGGGCACAAATTTTCATCCTGATCTTCAAACTAAGATTTTTGTTTTGTTGTTTACATTTTAATTTTTGTTCTAGTATTCACAATGGGCAGTTTAGGAAACCCGTAATATACTGTATTTTTTTTTTTTGCAAAGATTGTACCTTAATAAATAAGTTTAATGTTCTATGCCCATGTGGTCTACAATCTGACATTATCCTGGAGTCTCTAGTGACTGAATCTGTAATCAATGTATTCCAATAATCTTATCAAAAGTCTGTCATGAGACCTCCAGGTATGGGGCTTGTATCATGTTTAGTCCAGTATTAGAGTTATGTTATGAATTTTAGTTAAGTGTTTAGGTTCCATGCCTTCTTCTAGAGAAGTAACTAGCAATGGTAAACCATGGGTAAACAGTTTTTCATTTCTTTTGAAACTAATATTGAACTTGATTTGGCTTTTCTATTTGTCATTGTAAGTAATCTGTTTTAATTATATTATTGTATAACATTATATCGTAGCTTGGGTCACATGCCTTCTTGTTATACTATGTTCAGATCGGTTCATTGTTAATGGAAATCATAAATTAAAATGTGATTTACATTAACAGTGAACTTTCATGAAGGACATTGAGATTGTTTTGGGAATTCACACCTTAACACCTGAATCAACTGTTGTTGGAGCGCCACTATCCTAAGCAAAGTGTTTGTGATGTTAGTCATCCTTTGTAATTCTAGTCCTTAAAATATTTTTATCAAACAAAACATCGGTTTACATATGAGAAATGGATAATACCAGGTGGCTGATTAACCCCGCGCACTTCTGTAGTTAGACTGTAGACTTCAGTGAAGTGCGGGCGGGCGGGCTTGCCAATCGCCCCTGTCCACGGCGCCTTACGGGCCGGGCGAGTAGGCAACCCGCCCGGACTCCTGCGTGCGGTACAGTCTAACTACAGAAGTGCGCGGGGTTAATCAGCCACCTGGTATTTTAGCACAAAATAATTTATAGATCGTAATCTAAAAGTATTACTGATCAGAGAGAATTTTGAATGAGTTCCTTAGGCTTTTGATATTTCCAGTGTTGTCTTATTTTACTGATTAGATTATCTATTATTTTCTACCAAATTGTCCTTCACATACCTAAACTTACTCCCAGGAAATCTGTAATCAACTTCTTCTTTGTGTGGATTTTGTTTTGTTTTATAAAAAAACTGTACTTTTTGTACAAATGTGTTTTGTTAATTAAGAAAAAGTTCAGTTTCCAGAAGAGGAAACCGCATAATTTTCATGCAATTGTGGCTGCTTGACCTACTATGTTAGATTCAGGAAAGATATTATCTCTATATCTGTGATAACTTGCCCTTTTCTGAACAAAGATTGTAGCTCTACCATATACGTACCAAATATACTGTTGAATTTCACAGGCTTTAAATGCTGCATGGAAATAAACATTCAGGTATCCATATGTAATCTTTATTTCTATTCTTACCTGAAACGGGGGTGACTCAAGGCAAAGACGTAGGGATCGAAGCAGGCGACGAGTTTGCAGCAACACGCGGGAATCATGGTGACACCAGGAGTTAACAACGCCCTGAGAGACAGAGAGAGAGAGAAGAGAGAAGTATTCAATATGAGGTCGCTAGGTAGATGATTCTCCCTTTTCACAGACCCTGGGGAGTTTGACAATTGTCTGTGAGCACGAAAGATTTGTGCTCCTTGAGGCACAAAAATGCCTAACTAGGCCACCAAAATGAGCATGTGTGATATGTGCTTTTAAAAGAATACGTACAATTAGCGCAGAGAGCGCATTTTGTTAGTTTTGCTCCACCTTTTACCGAGCTCTGCAAAATCACCCTTTCTGACCGACCGAGGCGGACGGCGCCTGCAAGGTGAGGAGGGGACAGTGTAGTGAGGGATCCCACCCCCACCCCCACCACCTTTCACCTCACCTCTCACCTAGCGCACGGCCAGCGCTGACCGAGGCGGCCTGTCCGAGAGAGTTAAGGAACTAAACCTATCTCGGTCGGTCAGGAAAGGCGATTTTGCAGAGCTCTGACACTATGACAGCGACTTGGTCAACGTTGACCTTTCAGAAAATGGTCGAAGAAAAGAGTTCCTCCATGTTCCGACGTCCCTTTTGAAGCAATAACTACGTATGCTTTGATGGGTGAAAATAGTTACGAAAGACCGACACAGGTTTAGAGACTCTGCACCTGCAATCTCTTGCTCGCCCGAGTTGGTGCGAAGGTACGATGCGCGTCAAACCCCTCCTTACCCGGAGCCGGAGCCAGCCTAGCCGGCAGCCCCCACACTAAGGCGCTCAGGGTGGGCCGCCGTCTCCACTTAGCTGCGTGGCGGGTTGGCCTACCCAGCGCGTGGCAGGCGTTAGCATGGGTCGCCTCGCCGTTATACGTTGAAAGTTCATTGTGGAAACACCTACACCCGCCATTCCACCAAGGCTTCCTCGTGGAGACCCTACGGCGTACACACTAAACTCTTGTGGGGAGTTTTATTCATAGCTTACTGAAGTCCGTAAACATGCTCCGCGTGTTTCAATACGCCACCCAAGGAGAAAAGGTTGATCACTTTAAAGTCATTTTGATGTCAATGACATCCCTAATGACATCCGTCAAGCCAAAATAGTGACTAAATATGAATAAAAACGTTCATAAGATTTTGGTGTGTAGTGGTTCACTGCGCCGACATGTGACGCGGCTATCGGTACTGGAACTAGAGGGTTCGACTGACTCCGGTCTGACTCTGAACATAAAATTGCATAGCGTCTTTCTTCCGGGCACAACACACCACTTCCCCCGCCAGTGCATGCGGTACAGGCCAACCACACAAACGGGTCGGGCAAATCAGCCACCTCGAACGCGTGTGAAAGAGAAGCGATAGCTTGCGTCAGAGGGAGTCGAGGAAGGGAGTGCAGTCGAACCCAAAACCTCCTCCTCTGGACCCACGCCTGATAGAGTGCACCCATACTTGTTTCCGAAGGCACCGATGAGCGCGACGGTCGCGTACGGGGTCCAGGAGAGCACGAACAGGAAGGACAGTGAGATGGCCATCTTGGCGATGCGAATCTCAGTCGAGTCCTGGTTCTTGTCCACGTTCGATCGCAGCGATTCCACGTTCATTTTCTTTGCCTGTGACAGAGAGAGGCAGTATTACAAAACGGTGTTTGTGCGTGTGTGTGTGTGTGTGTGTTTGTTGTTGTTTTTTTTGTGTTGTTTTTTTTTTTGGGGGGGGGGGGGTAGGGGTGTGATTGACTCATAAATCCATCTAACTATACATCACCTGGGCCTTCAGAGCCTTCTCGTGCGCTACGACGTGGCTGACGATCTGGGAGTAGAAGTAGATGATCATCGTCATGGGGATGCAGTAGCAGACGAAAAACATGACGCCAACGAACACTCGGATGTGGTCCGTGTCCGACATGTAGTCGAACGTGCAGCTCGTCAGGAAGCCCTCTGCGAACAGCAATAGACGCTGCATCTTCGGCGCGGCACCCCGAAGCACACCACCGCCAGCGGGACTTTACCTGGGACGAAGCGGCCCCAAATCTCCGTGGCAGGGAAGACCACCCACGGCGTCACCCACATCCAGAGAAAGAAGATGATCATGATGGCTTTGCCCCTCGTCATCTTGCTGCCGAACGGCTTGGCGATTGTCCTGGCGGCGTGAGTGTTTAATTGAGCAGGTTTGATCTCCATATCATTGCCGAGCGAATTTTAGGGTTTGAACGTCAAGTATTTTTGAGTAGTTTCTGCATAGAAAAAATACTAACATGTATCTGTCGTAGGCGATCACCGCGTTGGTGGCACCGGCGCCGATCCCGGAGAAGGACCCCATGGTCGCAAATACTAGGCAGGCCGTTGGGCCGCTGGCAGGACCCAGGTTGAACGAGTTGTAGATGAAAATGGGCGTTTTGGCCATCATCACAAAATCGCATATTGCTAGGTTCACCACGAATATGTTGGAGGGTGTCTTCAAATTTTTTGACCTGTAGATAAGAAATGTAATACCAAGCCGCAAGTAGAACGGAGGACAGAGCTACGACTTCTTGAGACTCACGTGAGGAAAATGTAGATGACGATGCCGTTGCCCATGACTGCGAAGAAAAAGAAGAAGCAGTACAGGACACCCAGGCCGTAGTTGATGAGGGGGTCGGGCTCTGGATACACCAGCCAGTGCGTGGGGATGTGCGGCAATTCGTCCGGGGGGACGTTCCAACCCAGGAGGCGCTGCTCGGAGGGCCCCGACACCCCGGAGCCGATCCTGCGCACACCAAAGTATTGGGAAAGTGTTCGGAGCTCACCACACAAATCGGCCGGCGCCGGGCCTCCGTCGGATTGATACAATACGGCCTCAGAAATTTACTATACGTAATTTAGCCGAGCATCTCCCTATACCACCGCACACCGCGTCTGAAGGAAGCACCATCCACCGGGCGACTGAAAAACACTGTCCACTTTTGTATACATACGACTATACTCATAGGTACCGTACGCATATGGGGTGGGCTAGCTTCCTACTCGCTGGGCGCTGTACGGCGTCACAGCCAGAGATTGTGGGCAAACCCATCCATACACCTGCGTGCGGTACAGCATAACTAAAGAAGTGGATGATTTGTTCAGTCCGCTGGTACATTTGGCTCTCCAGCCAGAGGCACTTGGTGACATAATCTGCGAGTAGCGTGGAACGACCCTTTGCCGGAACGGGGTATTAATTTCCTAATTTTTCTATGCAATTTTTTCAAACACACATACACACACGGGCGCACACACGCACAACACGGACGCACGGGCTGACGCACAGAAAAAACGGACTGAAGGAACCGTCTGCTTGTCGCTGTCGTCGCCGTCGTCGGAGAGGTGCGAGGATCGCCCCGCCTGACTCACCTGGCCTCCGCCACGGGCAGCCAGGCCGTGCCGTTCGAACAGTCCGCGCTTTCGGGGTACTCCATGGTCACTAGTCTACGAACTAAAGAGTCCGCTGAGCTCTGACGGCGCCCTTTTATAAACTCTGTCCGCGGAGGGCACGGCGGGCCGAGGGCGGGCCGCGGGCGGGTCGGCGGGGGTGGGGGTGGCAGGCCCCCTCGGGGCCCCCTCAGGACACCTGCCCCGCCTCGCGTCCCTCGCAGCCCTCGCAGGAGGATGGCAGCCATGCTGATTCTGATCCGTGATAATCCGCCCGGGACGGGACGGCTGCCATACAATTCGATTATGATGTATGCGGACGACCAAGGGGGGAAGT